TCTCAGACGTTATTGTTGGGGCGTCCGTCGCATCATGTCGACCAATGAGAAGGCTTGCTAGCTGTCACGTGGACAAAGGGACGTCACTCAGAAGCAACAACAGCTACAAGCGACAGGGGACGGCTGTTAGGATTGAGACACCGTACGCTGAATAGCGTTTGGCTCTACCCCTTCCTTCTCTTTCTCACTTTCCCCTCAGAGGCTTAGGCACAGGTTTTTGTCATAGAGAGGGAGAGGAGGGGGGAGGGGGACGCACGTGGGTGACCGAAGTTTCGAGAAATCGGAGAAATTGACACACGGTTTGGGTGAGATTAGAACCTGGGATTACTGTCACGGTGACTAGAGTCTCATGGGGTGATGGCTAGCATTTCGTTTCCAGCTTACAGCTTACACTACACCCCCATATTACAACGTGATCCATGGGCCGCCCACTACACCACCAGATTACAACGTGATCCATGGGCCGCTCACTACACCCCCATATTACAACGTGATCTATGGACCGCTCACTACACCCCCATATTACAACGTGATCTATGGACCGCTCACTACACCCCCATATTACAACGTGATCTATGGACCGCTCACTACACCCCCATATTACAACGTGATCTATGGACCGCTCACTACACCCCCATATTACAACGTGATCTATGGACCGCTCACTACACCCCCATATTACAACGTGATCTACCTTACACATCCCAAATAAACATCTCAACCATCTCATACACCCCACAAACTCCACAGGGGGTAGTAGAGGAGAGCTATGTGGTGTGACACCCCACATCCACAACACCACAACCGACGCACAACATCCACAATATCACAACCGACGCCCCACCCCACCCCACCTGACATAACACAACACCACACCCGACGCCCCACTTCCACAACACCCTAACCGATGCCCCACCGCACTCTATACAACACAACACCACAACCAGAGCCCCACACCCACAACACCATAACCGACGCCCCAACCCACCCCACCTGACACAACACAACACCACAACTACGCCCCACATCCACAACACCACAACCGACACTAACCATCCACAACACAACAACCATCGCCCACCATCCACAACACCACAACCGTCGCCCACCATCCACAACACCACAACCATCGCCCACCATCCACAACACCACAACCATCGCCCACCATCCACAACACAACAACCATCGCCCACCATCCACAACACCACAACCGTCGCCCACCATCCACAACACCACAACCGTCGCCCACCATCCACACCACAACCGTCGCCCCACATCCACAACACCACAACCATCGCCCACATCCACAACATCACAACCAACGCCCCACATCCACAACATCACAACCAACGCCCCCACATCCACAACACCACAACCGTCGTCCCACATCCACAACACCACAACCGTCGCCCCAAATCCACAACACCACAACACCACAACCGACGGCACGACGCCAGTTAATCTTGCCTGGCCCATAAAGATTTCCCTGAAGCTTTGTCCCCCGACTACATCGCCTCTACGACAGGATTTGGTGCCATTTCCGGAAATATCTTCCACAACGGCAGCCCCGACCTTTGTCCATGCTATCGTGAAGCGGACAAATTAAGACACTTTACCCAGTGCACAACTTGTTTGAAAAAATCCGGCCGACATCGTTCACTGCATTTTGGACTGAAATAAATAACAATAAAAAGTTTGATTTTAAAAACCGAAAATACGACCGGCGCTATTAAGATCGTACGCTTGAATGATCGGCATTGTGAGGTTACGGGGAGATTCAGCAAGGCCACGACGAGCCACTCAACCTTTCATACCTCTATTACTTCCGCGCATTTAGTCCTTGTTGTGACCAACGTTCTAATGCTGTCATTATTTTTTTCGCGTGATTAGCGAAATTAACCTAGCGTGCGCTTGTCTGGCGCATGTTCAGCTGAATGAATCGGCAGCGGGTTATCGCTAGTTCGATCAGTGCTATTGAACTCGGTTCGACGGTATTAACATATTAATTGGGATAATAAAGGTTGGGCTTTGTGGGTGGGTGCGCAAATTAGATGGTACTGACTTCCTTGATAGGAAACATTGAGAATATAAAATAGCGGGTGACTTGCTAAACCATTGGAACAAAAGCCTTTCATGCCACCATTTGAGACGGTAGGTTTTTGATGTCAAGTTCAATGAAGTCGGACTTCATTTTATTCGACTTTTATGTTTTCAATTACTTCAACGTGGTCGGGATTTATTTGAATGATTTCAGAATAGACAGGATTTATTTGAATGATTTCAGAATGGACAGGATTAATTTTAATCGGCGTGTAATGTTCTAGCGGGTGTACTATACCTCCTGCATGGTCATTGATTGGCCAGTCATCGATGAAGGATTTACAAATCATCAATCCTTATTGATCGTGACCTCACCTCGTTGAGCTGGGTTCGAAACTCACTGAGAATATTGAAAAAAAAAATCTAGAGAGTAACTCTCTCAAATATCATGCAATAGTGAAAGAAAAATTATTCGTCAACGTTTACTCTAACTGAAATTCAATCTTTGGCCAACAACTTTCTTCATTTGTCTTTTGGCTACCTACTACGTGATTAATCAGCTAGAGAGTTGTTTTATTCAACTTTTGGTCAGAGAGTTTTTAAATTTATCTTTGGGCTTACAACGTACTCCATTCATCATCTTAAAACGAATTTCATTGAAAAGTCAAGTGCTTAGATTGTGTTACTACTTTACTGAATGTATTCATAATTCTTTTAAAAACGTTTTTTTTGTGTTGATAATTAGAATCGGAATTTGTTTTTTTTTAAAGAAACACACACTATAACAAAAATCAAGCTTGACCAATTTGTACTTTACAAAACTTATCAATCAAGTGTAACAGGTTACAGATTAAAAAAAAATAAAAACATATTTTTTGAAATAGTTAAAATTGTTGTGTAAACGATTCAGTTTATTTTTAAAGAATATTTAAGGCGTATGCTGAACATTTTTCAAGCGATGTGATTGAAAAATACAATCTTTAAAACTTTCACATGTTTATTTTAATTTTTTTTAAATTTTTTACACATTTTACACTAGTCACTAACCTCATAACGTTAAAGTTATCTTTTAATAATTAAAAAAAAAATTAGACAGTTTTTTTTTTAAAAAGTATTATTTTAAGGGAGTATTATAGATCTCGATCTACCTCCGCCCTGTTTTTAGTATCTATGTACAAAGTCATTAAATAGCTGATGATATTTCATAAGCTGTATTTTATGATTACATCAGATGATTGGTAATGGCGATCATAAAAATAAAATAAAAATTACGTGGACTGTGTTGAATTTAAAAACAAATTAAAACAAAACAAAAATGCCGGAATTAAAAGTTTGTTATTTTTGAACCAAGAGAGAATCACGATATTTTCAGGGTCATCATTGAATCATTTTTTGTCTGGACACTCTTATCTATGTATGTCATCTAGAACAGTTAAGGACATAGAGTGATGTGCCCTTGTACATAGAGTTTAGAGTAGTGTGCCCTTGTACATAGAGTTTAGAGTAGTGTGCCCTTGTACATAGAGTTTAGAGTGATGTGCCCTTGTACATAGAGTTTAGAGTGATGCGCCCTTGTACATAGAGTTTAGAGTGATGTGCCCTTGTACATAGAGTTCAGAGTGATGTGCCCTCGTAAAAAGAGTTTAGAGTGATGTGCTCTTGTCCGAAATACCATTTCCAAAATATTCGTACATGATACATATAACTTGCACACATACCATCATATAAGAAAGTCGAAGGGAGCCTTATAAAATATTGCTGTATCCGTTTAGATTTTATAGCGAGAAAAAAACACCAACGTGTCCGCTTTGTTGCACTGTGCGCATGCTCCAAGAACCTTATGACAAACCATCACCAAGTATAACGCAATGTTTAACAAACACATGCTCCAAGTGCTAACTGGTTACGGTTCCGGCGAGGTGGGCAGATAAGATTTTGATAGCACTTCGTCTTTTAGCCGGCTAGGTTTCACTTTGTTTAAAACACCAAAATATTCGCCCGGTTCAAGTTTTTTAAACATGTACGATGTTGAATAATGAATGTAATAGATCAGTATTATTGAGCCCAGTTTATGTTCATGCAAAAATAAATATTCAATTGCATTCCTCCTTTTTAAAGTAAAAGTAAATTTCCCTTTTCAAGCCTGACGGTCTATGGGGCAAGGGAAGTAGAGTTCACTTGTTTCTGTGACCTCGGCATATTAGTTGTCTCGAATTACGAATGATTCAATTTTCGAACGCCATTTCGAACCAAACCAGCAGCGTCTTTATGTACATAAACCATGCATATAACAACTCATGTTTGTTATATGTATCATTTAATTTTATTTAAACATGTTTTTATATATTTTTTTATTATTATTATTATTTTGTTATTATTATATGTATTATTATTAAATATTAATATATGTATTAATATAATTAGTAGTAGTATCATTACTATCACCTTAAGAAAACAACGCAGGCTGGCCGAATTTAAATTAGCTCAATCTTGCATAATGGCGTCTTTATTGCTAAATATTTATTTTAAACATTTTTTTTTCTAAAATTTTAAAAAAGAATAAAATCGTGTCTTACTAAAACACAATTTTAATCAGCAGTACCATGAGTGTTTTATGTTAAATTTATTTAAAGAGTCAAGGCCATTAACTAAAACGAAAACGTGGTCTTTTCAAATACATTAAATTACACAATAATAGTATTTGAAAAAAAAATCATTTACAAAAAGAAAATGTTATATAATTTAACAATGGTCTAGAACACAATATTTTCATATGATGACAGATCGACATGTTGATGCATTGTTATTATTATTTGTTTTCATTTTTTTTTAAAGTATTAAGCAGCTAAACGATTTAACATGAATACATAGATAAGGCATTTTTGGAAAGATCCTACACGACCACCCTGCATTTTCCCACAGTTTTGGCCTGATTTTTAAAAATGTTTCTGGCCATAAAAAGAGCCGGAATCCTGAACCCATCACCTTTTGGTAAGATACCGAACGTCCTCTCAACAAAAGGTAGGATTTTTAAATATTAGGTTTAGATTTTTTTTATTTCTTTCATATCAGGTAGACAAACTTTTGGAAAGAATAATGTATCGTTTAAGTTTATATGTGTAATTATTACTCACAAAAATATTACCTAACTTATGAAGTTTACAATTGACCTAACTTATATAGTTAACATTTTGCACCACTTTGCCTTACTGTTAACGTTTTACTAGCGCATTTATTTATTGATTTTTTTTTCTTAATTCATTCACACTCGCTCAATCCTGGCCTTGAATAAAATCGAAATTATATTTAAAGTTCAAAAATTTTTCACCCAACACACGGGGACATGGTATTTTACAATCACCTTACAATCACGAAATCCCGATGGGTCGGCGTGGTTGACTCGGTAAAGCTAGCTCATGGTTGCTAAACCTAAAGTCTCGATGAGGCTCGTTAGCTGGTGATGTGCTCCAACAGTAACTCTTCTAGGAGAGACAACTCCAAAATCAAACAACTGCTACCTTGTAGTTTGTTCTTGGTTGGACAAAGGCTAAGGAAGCTTATCCAAAAAGAAAAGCAGGCGGAAATCGGAATCATTGGCCTCAACGCCGCATAACCAGTTGCCACGTATACTTGTGTTGGAAAGAGGTCGTCGTGGTCTAGTCAGTAAAGCTCACGTTTGCTAAACTGAAAAGTCTCGAGTTCCATCCCTTTTAACACTAAAATTTAAGAACGAAGAAGATGAAGACGTGAACCCGAATATCTAGTGGGCATAGCAGTTAAGTGAAACCATAATTAGTACACTTTTTGTCATTTTTAATCTATTAAAATTCAAAACCAAACTGTTTATCTTGGAAAACATAAGAACCTTTTAGAATGTAAAAAAAACGCGGTAAATCTATTACCCATTATTCTTTGGATAATACATCGAAATTAAATTTTCTTCAACCAAAACTTCAAGCTTAATATGACTAAGGTGATACATTTAGATTCATTTTACTCAACAGGTAAAAAGTAAGATAAATATACTGTTCGGGCATTAAGTCTCATAAGAAAATAGAGTTTCACGAAGAGTATTTCTTGGCCAGGAATTACGTTATGAATTTAAAAAAAAATCACGTTCAATACTAAAACACTTCTATATGGATTATAAACAGCAGTCTAATTTGAAATGTAAATGTAAAATGTATTATTCCAGCAATGAAAACAAAACCTAAATCACCTCCAAATTAGCATTACTAATTTCTCCTTGTATCCCTAGAACCATAAAGCTGTACTCATGTATAAATGAGCCGTTTCTCCTTCTATCCCAAGTACCCTGAAGTTGTACTGCTGTATACATGACCTATTTCTCCTTGTATCCCCAGAACCATGAAGCTGATCGCTGCCCTCTTGATCTGCCTGCCTGCCCTGGTATTCTGCCAGCTGGACATCAACCAAATCGAGCAGGACATCTTCAACGCTCTGGACGCCAACAAGAACGGCATCCTCCTGAGAGGTGAAATCGATATCTTCTTCCAGGTAAGCACGGGTTTAAACACACAGGTGTAAACAGGTGTAGGGACTTAAGTAAATATTTGGTTAAACACGCAGGTGTTTATAGGTGTATGAACTAAGTAAACACGTGTTTAAACACACAGGTGTAGGAACATAAGTTAAATACGTGTTTAAACACGCAGGTGTAGGAACTAGGTAAACACTTATTTGAACGTAAAAGAAGACACATTTTAACGCTCTGTTAAACACAGTTTTGATCAAAATATTTAAACACCAATATTTGTACCAATTGTCGTTTTAGAGAAGTCTGCAATGAAACTAAATTAGTTGTTTTGCAAATAATGGACTAGCTATCTGTCTCGCACTCCCATAGCAACCCGTCTCCAACCACTGGCTTGTCTGGGGTCTTCAATAACCGCTCTATTTTTGACAACCTTATCCACATCACGCCTATCATACAATTCTTCATACTCCCTGAAAAACGAGGCAAATCATCCTATTTTCTGACATTCTCATTACACAGTGACAACCACCCCATTCTCTTACTTAACCCCTCCAATACCATTCCAAGTATTTTAATTCTAGCTCCCCCCAGCCATGCAACGCCAACTTGCTAACGACTCCCCCCGCCACAGCAACACAACGCCAACCTGCCAACCACTCTCCCCTTCCTAGTAGCATAACGCCAACCTGCCAACCAGTCCTCAACCACTCTCTACTCTACTTCCCCTACAACACAACGCCAACCCGCCAACCATTCCTACCCCAACACAACGCCAACCTGCCAACCACTCCCCCAGCAACACAACGCCAACCTGCCAACCACTGTCTCCTCTACTCCCCCTACAACACAACGACAACCTGCCAACCACCATCTCCTCTCTCCCCCCAGCAACACGACGCTGACCACACCGGAACCATCTCCCTCAACGAGTACACCGAGGCCATCCACGCCAACTTCGGCCAAGACCCCGCCCTCGCTGGTGCCTACAACAACCTCTTCAAGGTTCTCGATGTGGACAACGACAGCATTGTTGACCATCACGATCTTGACCAGATCTTCCTCCGTGCTGACGGCAACAAGGACTCCCAGGTCACTGCTGCTGAGTTCAAGACGTAAGTGTTCATCTGCCGATGTCTAAGTCATATATAATTTGCTGATAACTAAGTAGTATATAATCTACTGATCCCTAAATCGTCTATAATTTGCAGATCCCTAAGTCATATATAATCTGCTGGTCACAGAGGCGTAGCCACACTTCCCGGCTCCCGGGGACAAACTTTCAATTTGGCGCCACCTACCAATATATTTTTTATATTTATAATGCAAAACTGCAGCTTAAATGAGCATTTAATTTTTTTTCAACCCATTTTGGCGCCCCCCCCCATAAGGTCGGCGCCCGCAGACATATGTACCCCCGCCCCCTCTCCCTCGCTACGCCTCTGGATGGTCATTTAGTGATATATAATATTTTGATCCCTAAGTCATATACAATCTGCTGGTTACTAAGTCATATGTAATCTGCTGATACCTAAGTAGTATATAATCTACTGATCCCTAAATCGTGTATAATTTCCTGATCCCTAAGTCATATATAATCTGCTGGTCGCTAAGTCATATATAATCTGATCTTTCTGTTGCAGCTACTTCAACTCCATCATCTGGCAAGTCATCCTTGGATGAACGAAGTCAATAGATCTTAACATGATATAAATATTTATATTCTGTTCGGGCTGTTTTCTGAGTTCGTCTATGATTTATTTATTATGTGAATACATTGAAAGTTTACCCGAATTAAAAAAAAAAAGAAAAAAAAATGTCATACCTGGTTAAATACTGAGAGTAGTGATGTTTGTTGTGTGGGTACTTATATTGAGATGGTGTTGTGTGCCATCCCATAATAGAAGCTCGTGTGTAGTGTTATGTTGTGTGAGATCAATCTGTTACCTTGACTACGTATACCAGGGATTCTTTACCTGGGTTCGATCGAACCCAAGTGGTTTGGTTAGTCAGTCTCAAGGGTTCGTCGGAGCAGAGACGTAGCAACCCTTCCCGGCGCCCGGGGACAAACTTTCAATTTAGCCCCCCCACCATATATTTTTTATATTTATAATGCAAAATTGCAGCTAAAATGAGCTTTTCATTTTTTTTCCAACCCATTTTGGCGCCCTCTAGGGTCGGCGCCCCCTAGGGTTGGCGCCTCGGGACATATGTACCCCCCCCCCCCCCTTCTCGCTAGGCCTCTGCGTCGGAGGTCAATACACAGATTTTGTCAGTGCAAACGATAGAACTATTAAGAAGTGCACCTTGAATAGTTAGTGGAGTTCGGTACCTTAATAAAAAAGGTTAAGAACCACTGAGTAACACCTAATATTCGAAGTTCAAGTATTTTTTAAAACTGCTTGAAAGATTTCAATACAGTTTGTGTTAGACAATAAAACCCGCGGGTCGCTTCCAGCCAGACATTGACTAACACAATACATTTGTCCGTGCAGTTTGGGTTTATAAACAAAACCCGCGGGTCGCTTCTTGCCATACATTTACTAACACAATACATTTGTCCGTGCAGAGACGAACATAAAAATCATACATTACATCTGCGTGATGATATTAATTTTATTTTTAATTCATTGCAAATCGTAAAATACACGACTGTTGTTGTACACGGATTTACCACTTAAAAATGACTAAATCACTCAATGTAGGTTTGGTTAAAAACAAGCAATCACAAGTAGGCTATATTCTAAGCAAAATTTATAAATAAAAAACAGAGGCTTAAAGTTGCTTATAACAAATAATTCTTATCAAAGATCCATGAAGAAGTTAATTTAAATATTACAAACATCTACAAGTAAAGATAATTATTTAAAAAGCTACAAGTAAAGATAATTATTTAAAAAGCTACAAGTAAAGATAATTATTTAACAAGCTACAAGAAAAGATAATTATTTAACAAGCTACAAGTAAAGAAAATTATTAAAAAGCTACAATTAAAAATAATTATTTAAAAATTTACAAGTTAAGATAATTGTATATAAGGCTAAAGACAGGGAAAGGGGGGGGGGGGGAGATAGTGAGAAAGATATTAGAGGAAGAAAATATGTTATTTTGCTAAAAATTGATTTCGTGTTTGTAATCAACATACTAGTTTTTAAGGAGGACAATGGTTCCTTCTACATTAGGCTGATCATGAGCTAGTGGTCACTATACATTGATTGGATACTGAAATAATGATCACTAAACATGGGGTCATAAACTGGTGGTCTCTATACATTGATGGGGTCATGTACAGGTGGTCACTATACATTGATGGGGTCATGTACTGGTGGTCACTATACATTGATGGGGTCATGTACTGGTGGTCACTATACATTGATGGGGTCATGTACTGGTGGTCACTATACATGGGGTCATGTACTGGTGGTCACTATACATTGATGGGGTCATGTACTGGTGGTCACTATACATTGATGGGGTCATGTACTGGTGGTCACTATACATTGATGGGGTCATGTACTGGTGGTCACTATACATTGATGGGGTCATGTACTGGTGGTCACTATACATTGATGGGGTCATATACTGGTGGTCACTATACATTGATGGGGTCATGTACTGGTGGTCACTATACATGGGGTCATGTACTGGTGGTCACTATACATTGATGGAGTCATGTACTGGTGGTCACTATACATTGATGGGGTCATGTACTGGTGGTCACTATACATGGGGTCATGTACTGGTGGTCACTATACATTGATGGGGTCATGTACTGGTGGTCACTATACATTGATGGGGTCATGTACTGGTGGTCACTATACATTGATGGGGTCATGTACTGGTGGTCACTATACATTGATGGGGTCATGTACTGGTGGTCACTATACATGGGGTCATGTACTGGTGGTCACTATACATTGATGGGGTCATGTACTGGTGGTCACTATACATGGGGTCATGTACTGGTGGTCACTATACATTAATGGGGTCATGAACTGGTGGTCACTATACATTGATGGGGTCATATACTGGTGGTCACTATACATGGGGTCATGTACAGTACAAGTGGTCACTATAGCATGCCTTACAAGCTTAATGTTAATCATGTGGGCAAGCTCTGTTTGATGAACTTAATGTTTCCCTTAATGTGCTACATACACAGATACACATTTGATAAATATTGATACTGCCATAGTACAAAGTTGGAGTTTATAAGAAACAGAGGGGCATTGATGTTATTAAATTATTATTTTTCATGCCCTTTGCATGTCGCGTTTGTTAATTTATATATTAAAAATAAGTATTAAATTATTTGAAATCTAGTCATGGACTTCTGCATGGACCCCCCCCCCCCCGACCCACACCTCTCGAAACGAAAAAAAAAACTGCTCCAAATGAAAACAGCAAGAGTCAGTATCCTATGCCTTAGGCTTTTTTCAATTCCTGATCAAAAATAAAACATAACTTTAAAATCATTTTTTTGGGGTCATTTTGTCGACTGACATTAAGACCGTAGTTCTTTTTATCGTGATTTAGATTTTTGGTGTTTGAAATGAGTTTACTTTGTTTTCAGAAATAGATAACGTTCTACAATCCAGATAAGTAAATATGTTGATCTAAAACATTTCTCTTTCAACATTTGACTCGCTACTCTATCACAAGGTCTGTTTGATGCATCTTTTATTGTTTTAGTTGGTAGCTTACAGTAGCTGAAGTAGAGTTCATCTGAGTTTTGACCTCGTTATTTATTAAAAAAGATAATGTGGTCAGCAATATATGTCGTCGCCATATCTTTCCCTTAATTGGCGCAGATACCCGTTAGATCTGAGTGGAACCATGGGAGTCTGACGTACTCGAGCTCGGGATTTGAACCTGAAACGTTCAGGTTAATAATCGAGTACTCTACAACTCGACTACTGTGTCCCAGATGGTCAGCTGTGTGTGTGTCAATTATATTTTCAACATATTTTATTACAAGCCATTTAAAATTAATATTTGTTTCTAATATTTTAATAATCGTTGGTACATTTTTTCCTAAATCACATGTACAATAATCGTATAAGCTTAATATTCTTTAAAAAAATTGTTGTTGATAAGAATTGATTTAAATTTATTTAATAATATTTTTAAATTATCATTTATTTATTTTTTCTAGATAGACATTTAAAAAAAATTATCAATAAAGAAACATTATATAATCACGTTGAATGTAAAAATGAAATTACTTATCCTTACATCGTATTTTAAACAACAATATTGCAATAACTCATTCTAAAATCACATTTTAAAAAGCCCAAATATTTCTATGATTTATAATTTATACCAAAATCACATTTAACAAAAGCACCATGCAGATCGTGGCGTTGATTCTTCTGCTACCCGCCCTAGCTCTCAGCCAGACCCCGGAACCAATCGACATCAACGATCTGTTGACAACTGTCTTTCAAATCCTCGACGACAACTCAGACAACCACATAGCCAGGCACGAGATTGACATCTTTTTTCAGGCAAGATTTCTGTTGTATTTTTTTATCATTAGATTCATCTCTGCTGTACAAGCATTTGTTTTTCCACTTCAGTTTCGGAAACGAAATTTCTTATACAAGTATGCCCGGCCGGAAAACACTCTAGACTAAATAGTTTGGTTGGCTGAAGATACGAGCCACACTCTGGACCAAATAGTTAGGTTGGCTGAAGATACGAGCCACACACTGGACCAAATAGTTGGGTTGGCTGATGATACGAGCCACACACTGGACCAAATAGTTGGGTTGGCTGAAGATATGAGCCACACTCTGGACCAAATAGTTGGGTTGGCTGAAGATATGAGCCACACTCTGGACCAAATAGTTGGGTTGGCTGAAGATACGAGCCACACTCTGGACTAGGGATCTCAAGGTGGAGGGGAGGGATGTTACGTCCCTCGCTAATAGAATCCTCTGATTGTGTGTGTATTGTGCATTTAAACGACAGCCACTCTCTATTTGTACATAACTGTTGCTCTTGGTTGGGTGGTACCCGGAAGTGATTCCTACATCCGGTTTTGGCACACCCCTTGGTTTACCAATGGTCTTTTGCGGTTCAACAAGGGACTACTCTTAGTGATTTAGCTATTTACGCACATTGAATAACACACATAGGCTTTGTTTCAATGAATAAATTAGTAGCTTTACACAAAGAATGCGTCAACTGATTCTCTCCTTTTACAGAAAAAATATGTTAAACCCGACACTCAACCCCTGCAGCAAATAATGTTTAACCCAATTCTCTCCCCTACGATAGAAAATGTTTAACCTAATACTTTCCCTTGTAGCAAATTATATTTAACCCAATTATCTCCCCTGCAACAGATAATGTTTAACTCAATTTCTCTCTCCTGCAGCAGATAAAGTTTAACCCGATTCTCTCACCTACAATAAATTTGTTTAAACAAATTCTCTCCCCTACAAAGATAATGTTTAACTCAATTCTCTCCCTGCAACAGATAATGTTTAACTCGATTCTCTCCCTGCAACAGATAATGTTTAACCCGATTCTCTCCCTTGCAGCAACACGACGAAAACTTCGACGGTCTGATTGAGAAGAACGAGTTCATCGACGCCGTCAACGCCCACTCGACAGGCACGAACCCCGCCCACGTACAGCTCATCTACAACATCTACCCCTTCCTTGACATAGACAGTGACAACTTTGTTGACCACCATGACCTTGACCAACTCTACCTGCGCGCGGACGCGGACAAAAATGGACAAGTGACCCTGCCAGAGTTTGAAGTGTGAGTACTCAACATTTAAAGTAGCCATGTTTAATTATATGTAAACAATATGTATTTTATTTTTTAAAGGTCGAACAATGTATAGTTAGCCAGTATTAAAATTTATGTATGAAAATAAGTATCTATATATATAATTCTCTTCTGGGAGACGCTAGAAAACAAGCTGTAAGCGCGCTCCCTACCACCTCCACCCCTACATGGTTTTAGTGAGCTGTGTTCACTCTAAATGTTTACAAGCAGAGCCGGGTTTAGTGACGACTATTAGGGGCAGATAATTTAGTTCGAAACGATTTTAAACGTAGGGGGGGGGGGGGCGTAACTAAGTGGAGTTTACTGTAACGGAGGGGGGGGGGTATCGTCCTTAACGAGATACTTAAAGTGTTTTAAAGAAATATTTTCAGTGGCAGCGTTGGTACTGTCGAATTCACAAATTATGAATTACTGAAAAGTAGAAAAACAACAACAAAATAGCGGCGTATGATATGCCGCGGGTCAGCTCGTTAACTATCATTTTAAATTTAAACAATTATATTTCCGAAGGTAAAATTTGACAATGATTAAATTTGTTGTATTTTCAACATAAAGAAATCTGACCTCCGAAAACGTTTATACAATTTGTAATTTTTTTTTATTTGTAAAAGAATTATCTGCATTTTTCTGTTCGTCCAGGTTCCTAACGCAGTTGCTTTTTGCCCACGGCTTTGACAAATACTACGAAGAAAACTAAACAACGGACTGCCTTCTGTTAACTGTTTAGACGACAAAACACTAAGGAACATTAAATTGTTTTGATAATAAAATACAAAAGTAAATTTCAATATGTGTGGCGTGTTGAACGATGTTAAACATCTTTAAAGCGAATAACAAATCATTTCGAGAAGAGGCGGGTTCATTTAACGCCTGAAGCGTCAGCCCATCTTTTCAGATGTCGTGGTTTACAAGATCGTTCTTTAACAAGATCATTTTAAACAAGAAAAGTCTTCAACAACAAGATCATTCTTTCAGCAACAAGATCATTCTTTCAACATGCCCCATGTTCAGTACAAACAATAGACATTATGTGGATCGAAAGAATAATCTGTTAATGTATTTAAAATTGCTTGTGATAAGCTAAAAAGGAAACTGGGCAATTTTTAATATAAAATCAAATAACTCAAGCGTTTGCCGACATTTTACGTCATGCTGACTAATTGATTTTAGTGGGGGTCATCATAATGAACAACACCGCACGAAAAAATCATACTCAACACAGTTTGTCAAGGTCACAGAAACAGGTTAACTCTACTTCACTTGTCACACGGACTGTCCAGGTTGGAAAACCTGGTACTGAACTAAAAAAAATGAAAATGGCTATTGCTCGGTAACAAGAACGTAAATACCTGTCTTATTCCCACGTTTTCTTTAACTTGCTTTCTCTGTTTGTCTGTTTTGTCTGTTTTTCCAATCCAATCTTGCGATCGAAATTTCTGGCACTTCCCAGTTAGCTAGCGCGCTGAAATTTTCAGGGAAGCTTTCTTTTGGATGACCATATTTATGTATAAAAGTTTGGGCCGAGAAGCGGACGGGCGGGAAGTCTCTGGTATACAAGAATAAATATCGGTATCGTTTAAGCCATTTAGTTTAATGCTCTCAGACCGGGCCATAAGTCCAGCAGAGAGTTGGAGCGTCAACTTATGGTCTCAGATCTACTCCCTTAGGTCGGTTTTAAAATTAATGTGGCCCTAAGCGTTTTGAAATATGGGACCTTTATAAATTTACATGTTATATATCAGAGCCAAATATGATTTAGTGATACCTAGCGTGTTAACCGGCCCTTTGCTCCCCAGGGGCCACAAAGGAATGATGAGCGTGTTAACCGTAAACACAACTAAGAAGTAGGTCTTTATAGAATGTGAGATAAAGGTTTTTTTTCAATCGTAAATAAAAAAAAAAGGCTGGTTATGTAAATTTTGAAAAAAATAATATATTTAATTATAAATGACGATTTCTCACTCGTGAAGGGAGGAGGGGGAGAACTTAGAAATTAGGGGCGCAAATCTATAGAGTGTATATTGTCAACGCAAATCCTGCACTGCCAACGTTAGTTATTATCAATGCCAGTCTCAACCGACTCGAGAGACGGAGTTATCTCCCTCTATACCACTCGTGCTGACGATGTTGACAGAAACGTTAGTTAATTTTTTTAACGCGTTCTCATGTCCAAATATCATTTGAAACTGGTTATGTAATGCTTTGGATTTCGGTTATTAGTATTGATTTGATTGAATTATTATACAAATTTTTGTAATTAAAATTATGCTAACTAGTGCGGATTTTTGCCCTTTCCGCTCTATCGCCACTAAATTAGTCACATGATTAAAGAGGTCAAAAGGTTACACTAGATTTGTTGTGTACAAATATATCTTCCTAGCTTTAAACTAAGTTTTATGAAAGTATAGAAAGTGTGCCATTTTACAGATGGGATTTTTCCCAAGACAATTTCTTATCTTTCAAATATTTTAAAAATGCCTGGCCGATCGTACGATCACAAATTGTGTCATCGAAGCGATTCTCAGATACTGGAGCCGCACTAGATAGCACATAAACCTTCTCTGTGACAACACGAACATAGCGTGAGAACCTTCAACGTAAAAGTAAATTAGAATATTGACCGGAGCGTATAAAAAAACTGCTGTATGATCTAAGAGGTACACCGTCATACACGGGTCACTTCAATATTTTACCAGGACACCTTTCAAGGTTTGTCGATATCTTTGTCAACAAAACAAAGATGTAATTGTGGTTTAAAATTTAATTTCTATAACATAAAATCTAGACTGAACTTATTTGTTTACATCTTATACGCTTAATTTTCTCATTTGTGTGTATAACAATTTTAACATAAATTAAAAAGTAAACACGAGTGACGTCAATATTATCGATAACATAACTTTTTATTTAAAAGTGTGTCGAAGTAAACAACGGATTCTTCAAACATTTTACTTTGTCTTCTTTTCTATTGTTGTGTTGAGCAATAATTTGATTATCTAAGATTTAAAGTTATTGCTAACTGAAATTGGTGTGCAAATTACAATTGTTTTGGCAATATTAACAAGGACATTTAAGTTGACCACAACAATTCCATGATTACTGTTTATCAACGTCATCATTTCTATAGGCTCCATGTCGAGCATAGAGTCGCAACCACATTTATCCAATGTTCATTTGGGCGATTCCACCAAGTTGGGCCCACGACATTGCGGCTGTTTCTGCTTCACTGGCAACTGATATTTTCCATGTTTTTTTTGACAAACTTACTTTCCTTTTCCTATGGGGATTCCTATAAAACACCATTCTGGTGGTTTTGCTAGTTGGTTTACTCAAGGTGTGTCCAATCTATCCCATATTGGGCGTTTCAAATTCTTTGCCAATATGGTTTTGCCCTTTTTTACTACCATAGATTAGTGTAAGTATTTACATTCTCAGTCAAGGTAATCTCACATATATGATGTACGCATTTATCTATGTAAGTCTAACGTTTGTGTTACTCTCCACTCTCTGTCTACGATAGTCTAACGTTCGTGTTACTCTCCAACACGCATCTGTCTATGTAAGTCTAACGTTTGTGTTACTCTCAACTCTCTGAGCCATAAAGGAGACATCAGGTTGCTGTGAAGCAGTCGTATTTTAGATAGCATAGACATTGACATAGCTCTTAACCCTCAGATTGTGTGGAAGGACTTTGCTATGGACAGATAATAGCAAGATTTCTCTCTAAAGGTTGCCTATAGCAGGTTCTGTGGTTGCTCCAAATGATATCTGCGTTTCCAATTAGCAGGGGCCTTCTTGTTCACACGTCTTCGACATGTGTAATTGTAACATTTCTGCTGTTGCAGATGGGTCTAATTTATGAACCTCTGGTCGGGTTCCATTCTTAATCTTCTTGATGGCTAAATGGTCTCTCCGTTTTGCATCACTTTCTATAGTTTCCATGAAAAATGTTAGCAAACAGTAGTTAAGAGAGCGCAACTATTTCAGTGGGAGAAAAACAAAACAGTTCACAGTTAACCCTTACTATCAATTTGGTTTAATTTACATAGTAACGTTTATAAAGACTTAGGTGTTATATACCAATACATAATGACCACTGTCTAAGAAATACGCCTAGTTGTATTGAAAAATATTCGCTAAGAAATTATTTTAAAGAATAACTATAGCTGTTTAAAGGAAAATCCTACCAGGCTAATAACTTCAGCTGGCTAAAAATATAACGATTTAGCCAACAACCATAGCAGCCTAACCACCCTGACAAACAACCCTACCTCCCTAACCAACCTGACAAATAAACCAACCAGACAAACAACCTTACCCCCTAACCAACCCGACAAACAACCCTCCCTGCCTAACCAACCTGACAAACAACCCTACCTCCCTAACCAACCTGACAAATAAACCAACCAGACAAACAACCTTACCCCCTAACCAACCCGACAAACAACCCTCCCTGCCTAACCAACCTGACAAACAACCCTACCTCCCTAACCAACCTGACAAATAAACCAACCAGACAAACAACCTTACCCCCTAACCAACCTGACAAACAACCCTCCCTGCCTAACCAACCTGACAAACAACCCTACCTCCCTAACCAACCTGACAAATATACCAACCAGACAAACAACCTTACCCCCTAACCAACCTGACAAACAACCCTCCCTGCCTAATCAACCTGACAAACAACCCTACCCCCACACCAACCTGACAAACAACCCTACCCCCACACCAACCTGACAAACAACCCTACCTCCCTAACCAACCTGACAAACAACCCTACTCCCACACCAACCTGACAAACAACCCTACCCCCACACCAACCTGACAACCAACCCTGTGTGTTGTATATCTTCCAGCCATGAAGCTCCAGATAGTATTCCTTATGCTGCCCGCAATCATCGTATGTCAAGCTTTCGATATACAAGGGCTAATGAGAACAGTCTTTGAAATTTTGGACGCTAATTTAGATGGTCATATCTCTAGGGGTGAAGTCAGCCAGTTCTTTCAGGTAGGTCTTGTTTGTTCTTAGAATTGTATGCATTTAGATATTTATGTGAGCTACTATATTCTCTCTCTCTCTCTCTCTCTCTCTCTCTTCTCTCTCTCTCTCTCTCTCTCTCTCTCTCTCCATCTCTCTCTCTCTCTATATATATATATATATATATATATATATATATATATACATATATATGTATTTCGGCCGTTTCCCACATTTCCCAAAACTTTCCTTCAGCCGCCTCACCATTCCCCCCACTTTCCTTTACCCGTCTCACCATTCCCCCGCCCCCACCTTCCCGAACCCGTATCACCATCCCCCCCCTCACCATTCTCCCACCTTCCTGATCTCGTCTCACCATTCCCCCACCTTCATGAACCCGTCTCACCATCCCTCTCCACAGAACCACGACGAGAACTACGACGGCGTGATTGAGAAGAACGAGTTTATCGACGCCGTGAACGCCCACACGGTCAACACTGACCCCGCCATGATCCCACTCTACTACAACCTCTTCCCCTCCCTGGACATTGACAGCGACGGCTTCGTTGACCATCACGACATTGACCAGATCTTCCTACACGCCGACGCCGACAAGAACCAGCAGGTCACTGAGGCCGAGTTTGAGTCGTAAGTAGTGCTACGTCATAGTTTGGTTCAGTCGTAAGTAGTGCTACGTCATAGTTTGGTTCAGTCGTAAGTAGTGCTACGTCATAGTTTGGTGCAATCGTAAGTAGTGCTACGTCATAGTTTGGTGCAGTCGTAAGTAGTGCTACGTCATAGTTTGGTTCAGTCGTAAGTAGTGCTACGTCATAGTTTGGTTCAGTCGTAAGTAGTGCTACGTCATAGTTTGGTTCAGTCGTAAGTAGTGCTACGTCATAGTTTGGTGCAATCGTAAGTAGTGCTACGTCATAGTTTGGTGCAGTCGTAAGTAGTGCTACGTCATAGTTTGGTTCAGTCGTAAGTAGTGCTACGTCATAGTTTGGTTCAGTCGTAAGTAGTGCTACGTCATAGTTTGGTTCAGTCGTAAGTAGTGCTACGTCATAGTTTGGTGCAGTCGTAAGTGGTGCTACGTCATAGTTTGAGTCGTAAGTAGTGCTACGTCATAGTTTGGTTCAGTCGTAAGTAGTGCTACGTCATAGTTTGGTTCAGTCGTAAGTAGTGCTACGTCATAGTTTGGTGCAATCGTAAGTAGTGCTTCGTCATAGTTTGAGTCGTAAGTAGTGCTACGTCATAGTTTGGTTGAGTCGTAAGTAGTGCTACGTCACTTTTGGTTCAGTCGTAAGTAGTGCTACGTCATAGTTTGGTGCAATCGTAAGTAGTGCTACGTCATAGTTTGGTTCAGTCGTGTGTAGTGCTACGTCACTCTGGTGCAGTCGTAAGTAGTGCTACGTCATAGGTTGGTTCAGTCGTATGTAGTTCTACGTCATAGTTTGGTTGAGTTGTAAGTAGTGCTACGCCACTTTTGGTTCAGTCGTATGTAGTGCTACGTCATAGTTTGGTTCAGCCGTAAGTAGTTCTACATCACTTTTTTCGTCGAAAGTAATGCTATTTCATAGTTTGGCTTCAGTCGTATGTAGTGCTATGTCATATTTTGGTTCAGTCGTATGAAGTTTAGATGTAACATTTTAGAGTTTAACCAAAACTAAATAAGTTGCCGCAATTAATTACATGAACGTAGTGTTAAGTCATATGGTATCAGAGTTTATTCCAGGCATCTCTTCGAGAGGGAGGGGGGAACGGAGAAAATCTAACGTCCCTTCACCCCCCCCCCCCCCCGGAAGGAAATGGAATATATATTAAAAACATATACTTCTACTAGTGTTCGCACCCCCGGAAAATATTGTCCGCCCCGCACCCCCTCCCCCCGAAAATATCAAGTGCCCTACCCCCTCCCCCCGGAGAAAAAACTCTGGTATGGTATTCGTTAGAAGTTCTACTTCACACACAGTATGCTTGCTATTTTGTCATTGTTGCATTGCAGTGTGTCCCAACGTTTAAGACCCATCTACATTGTAAAAACTATTCTTGTTTACAAATGGTGTATTGATGCTCAGAAACAGTGTTTCGTACAATTTAAAACAGCTTCGACATAAGATAATCTTTCATTCAGATGTCGCTTCCATCGATAAAATGTGTAATCAATCTTCTCAAATACAAAGCTTATACAAAGTGAAGACAGACAGCAGTGCCACTATTTGAAACAACAATGTTCCAAGCTTACACCTTTTGTAAAACTTTAGATGTAAAATTTTAGAGTATAACCAAAACTAGATAAACTGACGCAATTAATTACATAAACACGTTTTAACTATGTACACTTTAATTTAATGTATACTTCAAAACAATTTGTCTTTTCGGGACATCTTTTGAATTATTGCATGTTCCTCTACAGGTATTTCATGCAGTTGATACTAACTCATATAGGGTAACGGGACAAGATTAATAATCTAATCTATCAATTAAAGATCATTAGGATTCAATAATGTATGTTTCGATGGATACTGATTGTAATGCTACTTAATAAAGTATGTGTTGATATGTAAACCTCTGTAAACAATAAACACTGTGTTCACGATCTATAGTCTTGTATAATTAGTTCGGCGTGTTTTCAATTTGTAGAGCGGTACCCATGGTTAGTTAAAAAAAATATAACACAAGTCACGCATGTACGTTAATGTGGACGGGGTGGTCGAATGGATGACCGTTTGGCTGCTAGCCCAAGGGTCTCGAGTTCGGATCTAGTTTCTGACTTGTGTTTGTAGGACGTCCCTGATCCCACCGAGCGCTGATGGGTACCTGACTTACGGCTGGGAAAGTAAAGGCGGCTGATCACACTATCACTTCATGTTTCGAAGTCAAGAAACATGAAATCTTCATCTCCCAATCGATCGCTAGGTCCATATTATATGCGTATGTCCATATTCGATTACCTTTTTTCACTGCCTTAATTTCGTATTTCTTTTTCTAAATTGTACATATGGCGCTTGTTCTTTATCAACATTTACTTGAATGAAGGTTGGAACAAAGGGTGATACGCATAAAAATATATGTTTAGGAAATAAACTGTCCCTAATAAACAGATAAGCGTTAACATGAATATCCTAAGTTACATGTGATATTCAATTATAGCTTTTATTCCGCACCTCCACTCGAAAATTTCAAGTACCTCCCCCCACGCCTTGTGAAAAAAATCTGGAAGAAACACTGCAGTACTGGGAAATGATGATGTCTTGTCTGTAACTTTAAAACTTTGAGACAAATCGCTACTTAAAAAAAAAAAAGAGATATAACTCAAGAAATAGTCAAGAATTTATTGAAAACTAGCCAACAGAGCGGCAAGATTTGTGAACCACGAGATTTCTTTAAAAATTTGAAATGTGCTCACACAACACAGTATTGAAACTATCAACAGATCAGTTGAGAGAAACTATCTCACAGCTCAGCACATGTTGTTGAGTACACACGTATCTGTGCTTGGCGAAACACATCAGACACAGAACAACACACGTGTTGCGACACACAATAAAACAAAGGCTTGATACAAAACTTAATAGAAAGTGAATGACTATCTACACTATCTACACACAATAAACACAGACTATTCTAACTAAATGATTGACACACAAGTAAAACACATGATACAGTGGCTACAGAACTATAGCACCCAGCACTAACCTACAGAGGCGTAGCGAAGGGTGGGGGTGGGTGGGTGGGCGGGGGGTGGGACCTGCCTTGGTGTCACCATTTAAGCTGGTGACACCAAGCCAAGCCAAAAAATTGCAAATTATATACAGAAAAATGATAATTTCACTTCATTAAATGATCAATTAGAGTGAATTAAATAGTCTTTTAAAAGCAAAGTAGACAAATCCCCCCGGGTGAGTGGGGGGGGGGGGGGGTGACACCATGACGTAAACCTGATAATGATAAAGAAAACATGTAACATCCAGCTGAATTTATAACCGAATATAGATGCAAATCGTTAGTATTATCTGAGCACAGTCAAAAGCAATCACAGTGCGGGTTGCGTGTGTGTGTGTGGGGGGGGGGGGGGGGGGGGGGAGGGGAGGGGGAGAGTCACATCAACTCAACGTTGCAATATATATGCCTGAGGAAAAAGGTAATAACCTATATATTAATCACTGTATGGGTTGGGGGGGGGGGTGAATTAAATACAACCAGAAGAAAAAATATGTTTGAATACATATACACATGCGTATACATATACTTAATAGTGCATATATATATATATATATATATATATATATATATATGTATGTATATATCAAAATGTCTGGGGAAAAACGCTTCCTTTGGCGTATTCTCAACGATTTCCCAAAGTTTTTTTGCGATTGGATGAAAACCAAAAACTTATAGTGTTAATAGCGCCATATTGATTAAAGATTAATTAGATCAACAAATGAAATGTCATTAAGGTAAAGATATAGTGATATTATTATGGATGGACCCTTTTCGATCCCCACCACCCCCACTGAATCCCACTACTTGTAAAGTAAGAACAGACTGAAGGCCTTTTTGGAACTTTTAATTATTTCTACAATAGAAAAGAAACGGAATTTTCATTTTATTTTTAAAATTATTTCTATAAAAGAAATATTAAAATTCCAACGTAAAAAGTTTTAATTTTTTAAGAGGGAAAAGGGCCCCTAAATGCCTTGGGCCCCTTTCATTCCCTTCACTCATTCGCTTCAGATAAAACATACTCTATTGTAGTAGTCGATTAGAAAATACACTTCTACTACACATCTTTCGGAGTGTGGTGACTTGGCATTACATAAGTTAAGTGATATTGACTAGTTCAAGATTATGAACGTAGAGTGTGATGTTGACTGTGGTACAGCATGGTCAGATGGTAGAGCACACAGCTGCTAGGCCGAAAGATTTTAGCCCACCCTGCTTTATTAGGTACCTGACTCACTATTGCTAAAGTAAACACGGCTGGGCATAATATTGACAACACTATCTCTTCATATGGTGAGGTCACTTAAACATTACCTGCCCCATGGGCCGTAAAGGGTACTCTTTATGTGATGTTAAATATGACAAGATTATCAACATCATCGTATTGCTAAGACAATGTCAACATGATGTTTAGACAAGATTATCAACATCATCGTATTGCTAAGACAATGTCAACAGGATGTTTAGACAAGATCATCAACATCTTCGGTGATGTTTACCAAGATGTTTATCAGGATCAAAGACAACACAATGTGTTGAATACATCTCTCACAAATTATATTGACCTGGCAAGTATTACTTTGCTGATGAAAAATTTGTATTTCAATGCCGAATTTAAAATACAAATGTACTCAGATGGTCATGAAGAGTTGATTTATAATTTAATAATGTCTAACCTCGCACTTTCCTTGACTTGGTACAAGCAAACTTGATTAAATACACTTGTTCTAGATCACGAAGGTCTGGCATATGCTGGTTCACATACACCGTATTTTACACGTCCGATAATCACATAAAAACTGACAGGCATTCTCAGACGTCAAATAGTTTGACAGCTTTGAGTTGCGTGAGTTTTCCAGGTTGTAAAAAATGTAAGTCGGGTTTTTGCTTTGTAAAATAAGAAATTTAATTTCTTGTCTTAAGTGCTCTGTTAAGTTTCTCTGTAGTTTAATTTTGTAAGAGGATTTAACGACTAACGTGATGAAATTATTTAGACAACTGCTATTCTAGAAGAGACGGTTAACTACACCAAATAAAATAACTGAGCTCTCGAAAGTCTACTATTAATTAAAGACGGTTGTTTAAATTAAAGACTTAAACGCCAAGTTTTAGTTTTTAGAGTCTTAAAACGCATATAGACACATGAGAACATTTAAAAATATTTTTTTAAAGTTTGATTTCCAAGTTTTGACAGCAGTGTTTCTTCCAGACTTTTTTCTCCGGGGGGGCACTTGAAATTTTCGGGGGGGCGGTAAACTTTCTTCGGGGGGGCGGACACTGTTAAAAGTATATATTTTCTATATAAATTATATAAATTTCATTCCGTTCGGGGGGGCGGTAAAAATTTTTCGGGGGGGCTTCGCCCCCCCGAAGAGATGCCTGGAAGAAACTCTGTTTGACAGTAAAATGGGTAAATATTCTTAGTGTGAAGTAGAGTACATGTGCTTCTTAACCGTGGCACCTAAATGCATAGTGAGGTTAGCTGCTCACATATTTAGTGTTTACATCTGTAAGTTGTCCAAACTTCAACCACCTGGCTTGTTACAATACACCTAAGATGAACCAACCAGGCGACTCAAATCTTCTATTCCAGTTAACGACCTTCACCCCACGATGCCATCTCTTATCGCCATCCTCCTCTGTCTCCCCATCCTCGCCCTATGCCAAGACCCAGACACCATCACCGCTAATGTCTTCAAAAAGACGGACGTTGACGGAGACGGCAACATCGAACGTCCAGAACTTGACCAATACTTTAAGGTTAGTCTAATGTAATCTCTTGACCAGTACTTTAAGGTGAGTCTAATGTAATCTGTTGACCAATACTTTAAGGTAAGTCTAATGTAATCTCTTGACCAATACTTTAAGGTAAGTCTAATGTAATCTGTTGACCAATACTTTAAGGTAAGTCTAATGTAATCTGTTGACCAATACTTTAAGGTAAGTCTAACGTAATCACTTGACCAATACTTTAAGGTAAGTCTAACGTAATCACTTGACCAATACTTTAAGGTAAGTCTAATGTAATCTGTTGACCAATACTTTAAGGTGAGTTTAATGTAATCTCTTGACCAGTACTTTAAGGTGAGTCTAATGTAATCTGTTGACCAATACTTTAAGGTAAGTCTAATGTAATCTGTTGACCAATACTTTAAGGTGAGTTTAATGTAATCTGTTGACCACTACTTTAAGGTGAGTCTAATGTAATCTGTTGACCAATACTTTAAGGTAAGTCTAATGTACTCATGTAATCTCTTGACCACTAGTTTAAGGTGAGTCTTCCACCAACACGTTCATGTATTGTAATCCATTGGTCAGCACGTTAAAATAAGTCGTCGACCAAAAGTTCCACGAGTCTCGTCACTAATAATTAACCCAAAGGCCTTGACCAATACTTTCGACAACCCAGCCTAAATATAACGCTTAATCTTACATTGATACATTCATTGTTTTGGTGGGACTAAGTACAACCAAATGTACAAGCAAAACATCGACAACCATATGTCTTTCACGACCCTCTGTTTCAGCTTTCGACCAAACGACAACCATATACCTACGCCAACCCTCTGTTTCAGACTTTCGACAAAACGACAACCATATAGCTACGCCAACCCTCTGTTTCAGACTTTCAACCAAAACAACGACAACCATATCTATGCCAACCCTCTGTTTCAGCTTTCGACCAAACGACAACCATATACCTACGCCAACCGTCTGTTTCAGACTTTCTACCAGGACAACCATACATTTAAACCAACCCTCTGTTTCAGACTTTCGACCAAAACAACGACAACCGCATCTCCCGACACGAGTACGGCCTACAGGTGAACGCCACCTACGTCCACGACCCAGTTGTCAGCCACAACCTCCACACCATGTTCGACAACCTGGACTTCAACAACGACCACCATCTGGACACAGCCGACTACGACCACATGTTCACCACCTGTGACACGGACAACAACCAGCTCGTCAGCTCAGCCGAGTTCACCAGGTACATTTGTGCATGATAGTTTACGTCAGTTTTACAGATACATTTGTTCATGTTAGCTTCTCAGTTTTACAGATACATTTGTTCATGTTAGCTTCTCAGTTTTACAGATACATTTGTTCATGTTAGCTTCTCAGTTTTACAGATACATTTGTTCATGTTAATTTACCTCAGTTTTACAGATACATTTGTTCATGTTAGTTTACCTCAGTTTTACAGATACATTTGTTCATGTTAGTTTACCTCAGTTTTACAGATACATTTGTTCATGTTAGTTTACCTCAGTTTTACAGATACATTTGTTCATGTTAGCTTACCTCAGTTTTACAGATACATTTGTTCATGTTAGCTTACCTCAGTTTTACAGATACATTTGTTCATGTTAGCTTCTCAGTTTTACAGATACATTTGTTCATGTTAGTTTACCTCAGTTTTACAGATACATTTGTTCATGTTAGTTTACCTCAGTTTTACAGATACATTTGTTCATGTTAAGTTTACCTCAGTTTTACAAATACATTTGTTCATGTTAGTTTACCTCAGTTTTACAGATACATTTGTTCATGTTAGCTTACCTGAATTTTACAGATACATTTGTTCATGTTAGCTTACCTCAGTTTTACAGATACATTTGTTCATGTTAGTTTACCTCAGTTTTACAGATACATTTGTTCATGTTAAGTTTACCTCAGTTTTACAGATACATTTGTTCATGTTAGTTTACCTCAGTTTTACAGATACATTCGTTCATGTTAGCTTACCTGAATTTTATAGATACATTTGTTCATGTTAGCTTACTGTGATGGTACGAAAGGACCTTTGTTTGAGGTTCTTCTAGTTGCACCAGTTGTGAGGGTGGGGATTTTTAAGATGCGAAACGAATGAATCCAATAACACAAGTTCTAGTATAAATTATAACATGTTCTTTATTAAAATGATAAAAATCAAGTTTCTACCTAACTAGCTTATTCTATACTCTCTACTGTTTACTTTTACTACTAACTGTTCACTATACTACTAACTACACACTCCCATGACCACTCCTAACACTATCTAACTGTTCTCTACATAACTACGTCTGCTCCATTCTACAACCTAACACCTTCTCTACTCTTCGCTAGCTACCCATCAACTGCTGCTAAACTCTCTACTGACCCACGCCTCAGTGGTCAGCTGACCGTCCCACGTGACCGGTCAGTTCACGTATTTTTATTGGTCTATCTCTGACCAACTCACTATAGCCTGTTTCTGCTATCTACCTGAGCTCTCCGACGCAACCTTGCGTCATCACACTTACCTAATTTTTACAGGTAAACCTGTACATTTTAGCTAATCTAAGTTCACCAGGTAAATTTGGTAATTTCAGTAAACCTGAATTCTCCAGTAAATTCTTATCAATTCAGCTTATTTGAGTTTACCAGGTAAATTTGATCATTTCAGTATACCTGATTTCTTCGGGTATATTTGACCATTTCAGCTTACCGGCATTGTCTTGGTAAATCTAATCTTATCATCTTCGGAATTCTTTAGGTAAATCTTTGCAAGATACCTGAAATTCCCCAGGTAATTCTTTTCCAGTGAACTTGCTGGAATACTTCAATTATTCACAGCAATCTATGGTAGTGTCCCTACTGACAAGTATAGGTATATTTCACGTCATGAATCTTTTTGAATATTTGAATATTGTAATGTTCCGGTTCAATAAATTAAACTTTAAAATGATCATAATTCCGTTTCTTCTCTAATTCAGCTTCTTCAAGACTATGCTGTTGGCCTCCATGAGCCAATAAACACAGAAACACAAGGTTTTGTCATCGTCATTCGTTCATGATTTTCACAATAAAAGATTTGAAATATAAAAATATTTGTGTTTTGTCAACTTAGGAATTCGTTGTAACCCGGGAAAAGTTTTTATATTAATTAATTAAGGCTATATGATTGTAAGCAGGGGCGGGACTACAGTGCCGCCAGGGGGGGGGGGGGGCAACGCCATTTAGGAGCCCACAGCCGACCATAATCAATTTTTTTTAATTAAAAAAAATAATTTTCTTGCATTTTTTTATTTGATGTTTGTTTTGTAAAAAGAATACTGTAGCTGCTGTTGGATTATCTTTATTCTATAGAAACCGTCCCACGCTCTTGCATATTCTTTTTTCCCTTTGTTTTTAAACCGTTGTGAAAGCGGAGTCCTCTTTCTTCTGCAATCAAAAACATGCTGTTGTCGGAAATTCTTTTGAAAAGAGGCCGTTAGATATTAAGACGACTTTTGCTTCTTTGTAGCGTTGTTTAGGGTCCCACCATCCATTGTCATTTTACAATGTATAATGTACTTTTTATATTGGTAGAACTACTATTCTGTACTATCCTGTATTCTACAAATAATCAGAAAGAATATAATAACAATAATTTCGGTTGTATGTACGTTTACTTGTTTTTGTTTTGGGGTCATCAATAAATGACGTCGCGCTTTTTTTTGACGATTTTTACCTTCCCCTCCCCTCCGTCACACATCGTCACAAAAAACCAACGCCCCCCCCCCCCCCCCCCACCATATTTTGTAACTAACAAACAGATCTACTACAGTAGTGATGTTATACAGTAGCTAACACATGCTGTTGTGTAAAAAAAAATATATGCATGAGCTGTAGTGAGAAAGATAGGCAAACGTTCAAAACACTTCCATGACTTATTTCCCTTCTCTAAATAGTTAAATGGGGTGGGTTGCTCATAAGCTCCTTTTAATAGATTTGTACTAAACAAATTTAAAAGCAATTACTTCTCTAAATTTGAATTTTAAAAAAAATACATACTAAGGAATGACATAGTATAAAAAGGAAATGTATTTAAAATCAATAATATCAATACAAAAAAACATAAAAACAAATATAACACGAGAAACCATTACACATACAAAGCTTTCAAATTTTATATTCTTTTGACCAGCTAGAAGATAGAAAGTATTAGGGCTTACCTAAAATGAAACAGAGATTTTCAAAACAGACTAATGCACTCACACACATGACATGATGTAGTTTGTTTTTAATGATGAAAAAAACAAAGGCGTTTGTTTCTAAACCAGATCAGGCCAGAAATGAGTATCCGATGTTCGTAGAATTTTTTTTTGCGGGGTGGCCCTTTTTTTCTAGTTCCGCCACTGATTGTAAGAAATAACTGTAGACTTATAGGGTAACATATAAGAACGCATCTAAGATTTGTTTGATAAAAGTAAATGTAAAACATCAGCCCTCAAAGCTTAGAAATAGGACCATAATATGTTATTGACAGTAAATGTATTTTAGATGTGATTCTGCTCAAGATGGTTGTGATGGAGGGGGGGGGGGGTGGGTTGGATTTGAAGCTTCGCGAAGGGGGAGGGGATAGAAATAAAACAAAATGTTTAATGTATAAACGTAGGCTCTATATATTTTAACAACTTATCTATTTCGACACCCCCTCCCTATCTCCGGATAGACGCCTGCAAGCTGCAGATGTTGAAGCAAGACGTTGTTCTGAAAGACACTTGGCATTCTGGGATTTGTCCCATTCGGGCTAGTGTCCATTTGGGCATTATTCCCATTTGAGCAAGTGTCCATTGAGGCATTATTCGCGTTTGGGCACTTGTTCATTTGGGCATTATTCCCATTCGGGCAAGTGTCCATTTGGGCATTATTCCCATTTGAGCAAGTGTCCATTGAGGCATTATTCGCGTTTGGGCACTTGTTCATTTGGGCATTATTCCCATTCGGGCAAGTGTCCATTTGGGCATTATTCCCATTTGAACAAGTGTCCATTGAGGCATTATTCGCGTTTGGGCACTTGTTCATTTGGGCATTATTCCCATTCGGGCAAGTGTCCATTTGGGCATTATTCCCATTTGAGCAAGTGTCCATTGAGGCATTATTCGCGTTTGGGCACTTGTTCATTTGGGCATTATTCCCATTCGGGCAAGTGTCCATTTGGGAATTATTCCCATTTGAGCGAGTGTCCATTGAGGCATTATTCGCGTTTGGGCACTTGTTCATTTGGGCATTATTCCCATTCGGTCAAGTGTCCATTTGGGCGATATTCCCATTTTAGCAAGTGTCCATTGAGGCATTATTCCCATTCGGTCAGTGTCCATTTGGGCAATATTCCCATTAAGTAAGTGTCCGTTCAGGAAAACGGAATTCTGGCATATGGCATTCCGGCAAGTGTCTTTCGGGAAAGGTCGTATACCCACAGTTACACCTACAGATTTCAAATTACATCTGGATATATTTTATAGGTTTAGACATTATTAGAATTATATATTTTTTCTCTACTTTGATTTTTTATGACCGGTACAGAGAGAGAGAAAAAAAAAACTTCTCCAAGTGAAGTTATTTTGTATTTTAGTAATTTTATAAATCAGAAATAAAGTACCACTTGCGAATATCGGAAACTAATCGCAAATTGAAAGTGAAACAAATATAACATCTTTTACTTATTTCTGAAATTTGGCTAAAGCACCTGAAATTTTTTTAAAGTTATCGTATTCCCACACAAATAAAATACCATTTTGGATTGCCGGAAACCGTCCAAGAGCTCGTAGACGCATACAATGGGGATGTGATGTGAAATTTCGAATCCCTCACTTTAACCGTACTTAGACTTATCGAATTTTAAGGGACCTGAAGCAGAGTAAGTACCACTTCCGGTTACTGGAAATCGTTCAAAAGTTTAGACAAAACTACACATTTGATATAATACCTATATATAAAATGTTGGTCAACATAATTGAAACGGCACAACAGACAGAAACACTCAAACACACTGACGGACAAACGAACAGATTGCAAAACGAAGTTTTTCTGATACCGGAGGGTTGTAGAACGTCAGAATTTGTCCTGATCTCGATTTAGATTTCATGATTCCAATACATACTTTGCAAAACTGTCAAAATTTCATTTAGTTTTGTGATTTAGATTTCATGATTCCAACACATACTTTGCAAAACTGTCAAAATTTCATTTAGCTTTTGTGCACGATTACAATACATTCTCAATAATGTTTATACGAGAAAGTATAAAAAAAAAAAAAAAAAACACATTGGCCGTGTGAAAAAGTTATAATTTACCATGTTACATCTGTATATCAAAGCGATTATTTTAAAACAACAAAACAATTATGTTGCTATTATCGTGAAGTATCTGAAAAAAATATTTACAAATAATGTTTTAATGATGATTCGAAGGTACAATTAAAACTACATCATAATATGCTATTTTAGCATTTTTCTTTTAAAATACTCGCAGTTAAAAAACGGTAATGCATAATTATGTTCATAATCGTTTCACGTTAAATTCAAAGACACATTGGGTAGGTGAAGTAGAGCTCATCCGTTTCAATAATCTTGGCATGTACGTAAAGTTGGGTCAGCCTTATACTCAACCCATTGCTTCCCCTAATGTGTGTCAGGTACCCATTAGAGCTGAGTTGACACCAGGGGCGTAGCGAGGGGGGGGGGGGGGGGGGCGGGGGGTGCGGACCGCACCGGGTGACACCATTTAGGGGGGTGACACCAAGGCAAAAAATAGCAAAATAAATAAAGAAAAACTTGAGGGGGGGGGGGTGCAAAGCGAAAACTTGAGGGGGGGGGGGGTGCAAATCGAAAGTTTGAGGGGGTGTGCAAATCGAAAATTTGTCCCCGGGAAGGGTCGCTACGCCTCTGGGGGGTGACACCATTAAGTGCCGCACCGGGTGACACCCGACCTCGCTACGCCACTGGTTGACACAAAGGTATCTGACGCATTACGAACTAGAGTACGGGATCTGAACTCAAGACATTAAGGTGAGCAATCGCGCTCTCTACCATCTGACCTTACTATGCCTGTATAGTCTAGGTTTAATTGACTTTAATTATAAGTGTATGGGCCTTCTTCTTCTTCTTCCTTCTTAATTTTAAGTGTTGGAAGGGATCAAGCCTTATCTGCCAGAGTGTTTGAACTCTAGACTTTTTTCGAATTTATCAACCATGACCTTTTGCCGACTCGACCACGCCTCCAACACAATCAAGGATACGTGTCAACTGGTTATGCGCCATTGAGGCCATTGACTCCGATTTCAGCCTGCTTTTCATTTTGGATTTGCTTCCATAGCCTTTGTCCAACCAAGAACAAACTACAATGCAGCAGTTGTTTGATTTTGGAGTTGTCTCTCCTAGAAGAGAGGCTGTCCCCAGCTAACGAGCCTCATGTGCCCGAGTATGGGTCTTTAAATCTAATGTTTGCATCGCGTCTAAAGCCTTTAATCCATGGCTGAGATATTTCAATAAGTGATGTTGCCCTATTCTCACCCCCTACATATGTTTAGCTTGACTATAAACGTGTTTGTCCATTCAAACGGAAGAACCGTGTAAAAACTGGGCATAACTTTGTGTCTGCCAAGAACTGTGTCTCTTTCCGTGTGTCAGTCACTGTGTCTATTGCCGTGTGTCCATCAAAAACTGTGTCTGTTGCAGTGTGTCCCTCAGTCACTGTGTCGGTTGCCTTGTGTCCGTCAAGGAATGTATCTCTTACCGTGTGAACTCGTCCACTGTGATCATGTTATTCTTGTTGGCGTCAGCGATGGTGAAGATGTCGTCGTAGTCGGCGTTGTCGAGGATGTTGTTGTTGTCGGTGTCCAGTCCGGGGAAGATCTGGCGCAGGACCTGGTTGGTATCGGGGTCACGGTACAGCTGGTCAACCCGCTGCTCGTACTCGACTCTGGTCACTCTGGCGTCATGGTTGATGTCGTGGCTCTGTGGTTGGCATGGAATGTGTTTTGTTTTGATCACATATTTTAAAACAGGCGGTCACTAAGGAGGACTATAAATAGTTCATTCGGCTTGATCGATAATATGGTCAGTTCTATGTCCAGTAGCCTTTGCTATTTTGATGGAAGCATCCCCCATGTTGCGATAAAATAGTTGAACCTGACAACGGCTTAGAGTTAGAGTTTTGAGATTATTTTTGCATTTAAAAAATCTATCAGGCGGGTGTGGGGGTGCCGTCCGCATCGGGTGACGCCATATAGGTGGTAACATCAAATAAAAAAAAATCGTAAAATCGGCTGTTAAAAACCACAGTTTGGTCAAGTTAATATAAAAAAAAATCGTAGGAGGAGCGGAGTGACACCAAACCGAAAATACAAAATTATTGAAGGCGGTTGGGTGACAACTTCAGTTACTGGAGCGGATGTCACTCGACCTAGTGGCCCCAATGATTAGAGGGCAGAATCGTTTATATATAATACTGCATTTTTTTTATAGTCTTTACTTTTGTATGATGTCAGTAATGTAGAATTAATTAATTTAAGATATTCTTTCTTTATCTTTATTAATTGCAACTTCCTTTTAATCACGTGAATCGAAGATATATTTTATAAATGATCGTGTTTTTTTAGTAAGATAGGTTTCTAGAAACGTTAGTGCTTTAAGGAAATATTTATGAGGGCTAGGGGCTTGCAAAAAATGGTACATCTTGTGTAAATAGATAAAAATATAGACGACAGTGGTGTAGGTGGGACGGTTCGAACCCTATTCTATCAACCCCCGCCTATGCCACAGTCGCCCTTATGGAGGAGGGTATTTCAGAGGAATAAGTCTAAACCTTACGTCGAAGTAGGTTAAAACTTCAGCCTTGGTCAAGTGGCCATCTTGGGGTGTGTCTATCCTTCTGAAGACCTCGTAGGCGACTTGTGTGATGTTTACAGCGTTGACCATCAAAGGGAGACAAGCAACGAAAAACAGGAAGATGGACATTTTCGTTTTCTGAAAAAAATAATAATTGCACATATGGATAGTTTTAGGAATGATAAAAATTAAAACAATTGTAAAACGTGGAGTAGACGAAGGGGCGTCGATGTGTATAACTAGAACGATATTAAACTGTCGTTTATATCGATAGAGATTTTGATGGGTGCTCCAACTTTCTTATGCTGAGAAATCAAAGTTTACTCTTCAGATTAGTACTCATATACTATAACACTCAACCACCTTATTGCATTTATTATTTTGACAGTTATTTAATATATATAATATACAAGCAGATCTGAAACCGATTAAAATGTCGACAATATTAATGTCATATTTATCCCGGCTTCATTAAGTGACGATGCTAATTAGCCAACCGCTCTACTCCTATATTTTGGTTAACCGTCCATTATGTCAGAGGTAAGTAGAATGTCGAGTTCACCCAGCTCTTATGGGTACTTCACTTGCCCAATAGACAGGTACAAAAAGGAAACTGTACTTTTAAACACCTCATAGTTGTTATAAGAGTGCAAGAAAAAAAACACCGTTTGATGTAGAGTCAACAGTATTCGAACCTACTACAAATATGAGTCACGAGTATAACCACACAACCATAACAGTCACTAACAACAATCTGTTTATTTATTTAGAATCTAGACTATCAAAAATAAAACAGAAGTAAATATCTTACGATGTGTATCGGTGACAAGGTTACAGTTGGTGTGGGGTATGTCTTAGACCAGTTCCATTTATTAAAGTCTGGAGTCAAGAACCGTGGGGAGTCACCAGATTGAGCCGGCTGGAATCAATATGGAATTATCTAGAACATGTTTTTAAAAAATCGCCAGACAATCTTATCTAGAGAGCACTTATGCTCAAAACCAACTTGCGTAATATTCATGATGCATGTTGACGCCTGTCAATTAACTAGAGTCAATTCGTTTCTAATATTTAGCTCAAATTTTGTAACTAAAAAATCAAACTTAAAAAAAACAACTTTGATTAATTAGTTATTGAGATTTTTTTAAAAACAATTTTGCAGCTCATTGACAGTGAGTGCGAATGAACTCGGTATTTGATATTAGTTTATGGACAATGATGTTCTTAATTAGTTCCTGCAGCCGTTAAGTTCGGTTAAAGCAATTAAGTTACTGTCCCCCCCCCCTCTTCCATGAGTTACTGTCCCCCCCTTTCATAAGTTACTGTCGTCCCCCACTTCCATGTGTTACTGTCCCCCCCTTACGTGAGTCACTGTACCCCCCCCCCTACATGAGTTACTGTCCCCCCCCCCCCCTTCCATGAGTTACTGTCCCCCCCTCCTTCCATGAGTTACTGTCCCCCCTTCCATGAGATACTGTCCCACCACCCCCCCCCCCCCCCTTCCATGAGTTACTGTCCCCCCTTACATGCGATACTGTCCCCCCCCCCTTACATGAGTTACTGTCCCCCCCTTACTTGAGTTACTGTCCCCCCTTACATGAGTTACTGTCCCCCCCCCCTTACATGAGTTACTGCCCCCCCTTACATGAGTTACTTCCCCCCCCCCCCTTACATGAGTTACTGCCCCCCCCCCCCCTTACATGAGTTACTGCCCCCCACCCCCTTACATGAGTTACTGTCCCCCCTTACATGAGTTACTGTCCCCCCCCCCTTACATGAGTTACTGCCCCCCCCCCCTTACATGAGTTACTGCCCCCCCACCCCCTTACATGAGTTACTGTCCCCCCTTACATGAGTTACTGTCCCCCCATTACATGAGTTACTGTCCCCCCCCCCTCCTTACATGAGTTACTGTCCCCCCCTTACATGAGTTACTGTCCCCCCCCCTTACACGAGTTACTGCCCCCCCCCTTACATGAGTTACTGTCCCCCCCCCCCTCCTGACATGAGTTACTGTCCCCCCCCCCTTACATGAGTTACTGTCCCCCCTTACATGAGTTAGTGCCCCCCCTCCCCCCTCCTGACATGAGTTACTGTCACCCCTTTACATGAGTTACTGTCCCCCCCCCCCTCCTGACATGGGTTACTGTCCCTAGCTAGCGAGCCTCAACTGACTGGGTTTTATAGCCCGAACACGCCCAACACTTGTGCTATCAAAACTAACAATCTCCAAAACTGAATTAGCAGATTATCAATCAATTGTTTTTTACTGCTTTAAATGCTGGTTACATTATGTAATACTTGTTGAATTACTTTTTTTACAGCTTCAAGGTTACATTATGTACGTCTTTTCACACTATCTATTTTTTCATGCACAGAGTCGAACAGACAGTATATTTTAACCTTTTATAAAAACACAATTCAACTTTTTCCTACTTACTGTAACTTGGACCACGTCAGTCTGTCACACTCCCACGTTACCACGTACAAGAGCATCATAAAAGTAAACCCCTCACCTGCAGCCCACCACTACCACAGCTACAGCTGCATCCACACACAGGTTAGTATAACAGCATCCACACACAGGTTACTACATATGTTCTACTGGGACCGTTTGATTAGCAAGCGTACAACTGAAAATTCTAAAGTCAGAATAGTATACACTATACAGATATAACAAAAGAACTGAAGGCTAGTTTATTACATAGGACTATCGGTAGAGAGCGTTAGACTTCTAGCCCGATGGTTTCGAGTTCGAATCCTGATTCTCGTCAGTAGAACGACACTGAGTCCAGCCAGCTCTGATGGGTACCTATCTCTTGTAATAGAAAGTAAAAGATGCTAGGCACAGTGCTGATAATACTGAGGTCACAGAAACAGGTGAACTCTACTTCACTTTCCCTATGAATCGTCACGATGGAAAAGGGAACTTAAATTTTACTTTTTCCACGGTTAAGTAGAGTTTTTTCTGCCTAGTTTTTTTTTTTTTTTAAACACAAAACTGATAAACCGGCAAGACTGGTTTTTACAAGCTCATTAACCGGAAGTAGCCGATGTCCGTAAAGGGGAGGTAAATTAGCCGATGAACATACGCAACCAATATCTGGTATCCACTGGATGCTCTGACATAGGTCAAGGCTTGTTAGACTCGAGACAATCAACACTTTAATGAATACTTGGACTATACATTATGTCGTTCTGATGTTCTTCTCCAAATAGTTTAGTTAAGAATTTGGGATCGCTCTGTCGATTGCTAAACACGCGCCTGCGTGGTCTAGTATTAACGTGACTAGGGTCAGTCTGCGGGCCTGTTCGAATCTCTATAATTGTATAACATGGGTCGTGGACAGCCTGTCATGGTTGCGGTATATAAAGAAAAAGAAAAGATTCATCAAATAAATGTATATTTAAAACGTTCAATTAATTTTCCACAGAACCTCCAAGATGTCCCTCCTACACGTCATTATCGTCTGCCTGCCACTGTTGGCCCTCGGCCAGGATCTGACTGCTATCGCATACGAGTCTTTCAGAAGGATTGATGCCAATAATGACGGGCACATTACTAAAGCCGAAGTTCTAGATTATTTTGATGTAGGTTTTGTTATATGTATACCAAAATTAAATCGTTTATTTATTATTTTAAGGACATATATATATATATATATATATATATATATATATGTATATATATATATATATATATATATATATATATATATATATATGTATATATATATATATATATATATATATATATATATATATATATATATATATATATATATATATATATATATATATATATATATATATATATTGTAATTGGCACAGGACTACGATCTGAACAACGATGGCCATGTGACCAAGGTAGAGTACGGCCAACGTGTCGACTCAGTTTTCCACGACCCAACCGTCAACCAGGTCCTGCACCGCATCTTCCCCGGCCTGGACAGCGACAACAACAACATCCTCAACAACGCCGACTACGACGACATCTTCGCCATCGCTGACGCCAACAACAATGGACAAATCACACAAGATGAGTTTGACAGGTAAAAATTCCTAGAAGTTAACTGTGTTTTTACGTTATGAGTTGTTTGATACCATCACACAACTGTTTTAAGAACGCAATGAATCTACACAGTTTTAACGTTAACAATTCACATTAACTACGATGCCCCAAGTATATAACCAGCTGCCATCCACATTTCGAATTTACGAATGCCTTTTAGAATTAAAATTTATTGCAGTGTTTATTTAATGTATTAATATTAGAAAAATTGAACAAAAAAACAACACTTTTATAACGCAGAGTTAATTGCAGATCTACTTTTAAAATTCAACGAACTATTGTCGAAAATATATCTGATGGATTTAGAAACAAATAGTTTTGTTTTTTGACAAATTCAATAATGAAATTAAAGACTTGTTGAAATATTATCCATGATAAATAAAAATAACTATTAAGTGGTTATTATTTATGTTAATAATTATAAATTGAAAATTGTTTGGTTTACTTTCAGATATTTCAAAATTATCGCCACGTAAATTGCAGTCTATCGAAGAGATTTGTTTTGTTGTGAATAAATTTTGACATTTAGTACTTTTCAAGATGCTTTGGTTTTCCTTTTTGTGAAGTTTAATCGAAAGTTTTTGTTTAAAACAAATATTTTATTGGACACTGTTCAAATATTTCAATTTTATCATCTATATAGATAAAGCATAGTGGTTAAGTGCCCGATTCAATTTTGGTCGAAAAGTCCACGAAGAGGGGTCAAAACTGACCTCGACTAACCGGCGCCTTATATGGGCTATATTACGAAACATACTTGATATTTTGTGAGGTGGTAGGAGAACACCTAGGGATGTCACAAAAAACTCGGCATATTTGGGAAAACTTCGTAAAGGGGTCAAACATGACCAGTTGTATTTCCCTATATAATCTTTGTATTTTATGGGAAAAACAGAGGGTCATTTCAACGCGGATTTTAGGTTACTCAGTATATCTGGCTAATTTTTTGCATGCTCCGAGGTAAATGGCTTGGCCTTTAGGGAAAACTGTCGGTTTGACTCAAAGCCCTTATTTGAGCAATATAATGAAAAAATTTCTTGCCGAACGACCCACCCCCTTTGCTTTCCCTAACATGAGCTGGATGGACTCAGGATGTTCTATTGACTAGAACCCGGATTCGAAAATTTCGGGTTAGCAGCATTGGACTAGCACTCAACCGCTAAGCCACACCATCCCATAGCATGTATACTAAAACGAAATTGAACTTGTGTTACAATATTTCTACTGCAAATGTGTCTGTATAACAGCAGTTTACACTAAAAACCAAAATGAAGAGTCAAGGTAAAGATTAGCTATTCGGCTTTAGTCACGTGACAGTCATTGTTAAGGTCCATCCTTCTGAAAGGCTGGAATGCGATTTGTTGAATGGTCAAAGCATTTTCCACCAGTGGAAGACAGAGAGCCAACAACAGAAAGACAAACCTTTTTCCTCTTAACAATAAACATAAAAATGTATAAAAACCATTAAAACACACTTTCAAAGAAAGATACACGTGTAACGGTGTGTGTGTGGGGGGGGGGGGGGTCATATTCGTTCATGTACATTTTTACTGGGAACGTCAATTTTGTTAAACTTAAACCAACCATTATAAACTAAACCTTCTCTAAAACCAAACTAAAGAATTAAAACATATTGACACATAGTACAATACGTGTATTTATCTTAACTATTTATTAAACCACATGTTCCATGCAAACACTCCAATTTAGGACGATTTATGATGTTTATAATGCCTTACAATAGCAGAACTCGGACATTAAATGGCAACATAAAAATGGCAACATTACAGTATCAGGAAGACGGAAACATGACATAATCAGGCAGACGGCAAGATCACATAATCAGGCAGACGGCAAGATGAC